CCCAACAAGGGGCATGACCATATTTAGTGGCGGGCCACACTCGCCACGTCCCCGCGCTGTCCGCGGATGTATGTGGTGTTTTGAGCGGAGAACCTTTGCCAGGAGTAAACCCACCACATCCTCGAGCGCTGCCGCTGCTCGTCCGCGACCGCTTATTCGGTAGGCCGAAGCCCACCTTATTCACGATTAGCCGCGAGATGGCGGCCGTTCCCCTATCCGCGACCTGGGGACGCGCTCGGTGGCATACAGCTCTGCTCTTCCGAGTTAACCAACCGTGCAACCTGATGTACGCCTAAAGCTCTCAGCCTTCTGCGTCTGGCACCGCTTCGTGAAAGCCAGAAACCGGGTGCTTCACGGCTATTCTGAGAACCAAAGAACGCTTGGTTCGTGGCAAGCCAAACACTTGATCTCGCCCACTTCCGACTGGAACATGGTGTGGAACGTAATAGATATTACGCTGCACTGTCGAGTAAATACAAGCAATTTACCAACCTTTTTGGATGGTGCAAGTGTTAGGTACGTTTAATTTAGAATGCATTCGGCATTTTCAGAATTTAAAACTTTACTATAGTTATACGCCCCTCTCGCTTTATGTTGGACTGCAGTGGAGGTGGTGGTGGCCCAGTAGTTTATTGGCTGTCACGGGCTTGCTTTTTACCCTATGGTTCGAAGTTCGAGCCCCGCCACTGCCACCCAACTTTGGTGGTAGGCAGCTTTGCTGTCACCCGGCTCAATACCACGCCTAACTTAAAGGGAACTTATGTTGTTCACCACTCCAATAGGTTTAGGTGTTTTAAAAAAGTAGACAGACTGATTTTATGCAGCAATGCAATCTGATTTCAACTCTCGTACACGATACTTCATTATTATTTTCCACCGCGAGACATTTTGGGCTTCCCGGTGACTGTCCCTGGCTGTTCACATCAAGAGTCAAGTGTTTACCGAAATACATGCCGCTTTGTACTGATTTATAGTACGGATACAACAGATCGTCACCAGCAGATAAGTGGAAACTACCGGTGTCTAAACATTGCTGTCTATCTTACATTGCATTACTCTGTTAGGACAATCAGATGAACAACCTGAATTAGATGTAGAGTATTAATTGATGGAGGAAGCCCTAGTCACTGCCTTCTCGTGGGGCGGAGGTGTTTTCCCACCAAAGTAAGAGGACAAAAAGCGACATCCGGGTTGGTGGACCACTGGTAGTTCACCTAGGGGAGTTGGTCAAAACCCCGATTCCAAACCAACCAGGAGGAGTAGTACGAACCACACACCTTCCCGGTTGCTGCAATGGTCACCAGGTCGATTGGGGATCAAGGTGTATTGGGCACCTTGGGCGTTTGACCCCGTCCAAAGGGCCTATGATTTGATGACCTGGGTACCAGCCCCCAATGGATTGCGGTTTTCGCACACCGCCCCGCTTCCTTGCTGGTTGGACTTTGGCTAGCCGAAGGCTCCGGTTGTGAATTCCTCAAGAAAATTCACCTGCCTCGGCCTGCGCAACCTGGTCTTACACTGACGCTGGAGCTCAACCACGAAATATCCGCGATACCATGATCATTTGATTCACACGCCATCGACTAAGCTTCCTCACTCTGTAAGGCTTTTTGAGGTGCATGGAGGTAAAAATGAGATCGAACGTTACCAATTCATGACCCTGTCGGAAGCTATAAAAAACTTCACTCTTACGGATTATTCTAGTTGAATACTGTTCCAATCTGTTGTTTTTATGTTAGGTCTTGGCCATATCAACAATGTCCCCTAATGCTTGGAGAATCACCAATGCAATTGGGCGAAAATGGCTGTCTGGATCATTACGATGTGTCCTGGGGTCGCTACGTAATCTTTCTACATTCTCAAAGCCGTCCTACCTGTCCTCTGCTGTCCATAGCTCGTGTACGTTTATTATTTTTCTCATTTAATTTTCTCCTAGCTGACAATTCTCGGCTTCGTACTCCAGTTTCTTCTTTCAACCGATCTCATACTTGTGGTGAATTAAGCCGAGAACATGTTGGCCGTGAGGTTTCGCTATGTGGTTGGATATACCGAATCAGGATGTCTAATTTCATCCTGCTTTGGGATGCATTCGGTCTGACACAAATTAATCTATTACAAACGATTGCCGAAGATCAAGATTTTACCAGTTCTACGCTGAAACCGGGATATGTTATTCATGTGACCGGAACCGTGATAGCCCGACCAGTGAAGGATGTGAATAAGGTGACAATTTTCACAACCATTTTCAGAATTTCAGAATATGAGTACAGGTGAAATAGAGGTAGCACCCAGGGCAATAACTGTGCTGAATGCACCTAGAGTCGCATTGCCATTTACCAGAAGTTTGATGACCGAGGTAACTTTCCGTTGCATCCTGTGATCCATTCGAGTTCTTTCAGGTTAATGAGCAAGTCCGGTTAAAGTATCGGTTTTTGGATCTTCGTTCCGAGGTGCTTCAGCGAAACCTACGATTTCGTTCCGCTCTGATCCTTCGAATGCGTCAGTATTTGTGCGAGACTTATGGTAAAAGCACCGTTTACTGATTCACACTGAATAGGTTTCGTGGAGGTTGAAACTCCCTATTTGTTTCGCCGGACTCCAGGGGTATTACTTCATTTTTGATAGTGAATTTTCAGGGTGCTCAAGAATTTGTCGTGCCTACTCGTAATGCTGGGTTTTTCTACAGTCTGCCACAAAGTCCTCAGCAGTTCAAGCAACTACTGATGGTTGGCGGTATAGATCGGTATATGCAAATCGCGCGATGCTTTCGGGATGAGGCATCAAGAGCCGATCGACAGCCAGAGTTCACACAGGTGAAGTTCCCTTATTTTGCAGCGAACAAATGAATGTTCTTTAGTTAGATCTAGAAATGTCATTTGTGGAAATGGAAGATGTTTTTCAGGTCATCCAAGATACGCTCTCTGCCTGTTGGGATTTGATACGCGAGGTCAAATTAGATGAGAATGCTGTTCAGCCTTCCTTTGGCCGAATGGACTACAAGACTTGTATGTCGCGTTTCGGGACCGATAAGCCAGATCTACGCTTCGGATTTTCTTTCTGTGAACCGACGAGCAGCGACTTGATTGGGTTCCGTGTTTCGGCCTCTCACGTAAGTCAGTTTGGTCTTATGTTAAGCATTCCTGTTCCATGCTGACGGTCGTTCTTGGTGGAGTAAATTGCGCATTTTTTCATGTTTCAGTTCACTTTGCACAACCAGTAACCATGCACCTTCATGCGGCGGTTTTGGTTGCTGTCTTTTCGCTGCCCATTTAGATGAAGAATAGGAGAAGACTGGAAAGTAGAAAGTAGAGTCGAACAGAAAATGGAGAGTTTCAGTGGTCTAAGGTTGCAAAGAAATTGAGAAGATTCAAGAACTCCACTGTTTACAACACTCAGCCATATACTCAGTGTCTTTAACCATCGGTGACGATCATTCCAAGGTCCCCAACCAGGGTGCCTAACAGGACCTATGTGACTCAGTCTCCTGGTTAGAGCTTTCATACCCTCATGCCAGGTCTTAGGTTGACCACCCTTGACTTTCTTCCACCCACTAGCTGCCTCGNAAACTCTGCGTCTAACCTCAGCATTGCTCGTGCGGCCGCCCCACCAGATTCATGCAATGCGGCGTAGACAGCGGTGTGCAAACACGGACAGTACCTCTTTGTCCTATTTCCTCAATGGCCAGGTTTTTGCACCGTATAGCAGAACTGGCCGAACTGTCGCGGCATACACTCGACCCTTCACAGACAACCGGATGTCGCGACGGCGTCTCAAGTTGACAAATGCCATGCGAGCCTTTTATGTGGGAGCTGACACTTCATCCGTTATGCTTCTACTAGGTGGGATGTAGCTGCCCAAATAGCAATAAATATCCACTTGTTCTATTATTTCCCCGGTCAGAGTGAGGCTGGGTGCTGGACCAACCCAGTCTTGTAGTAACATTTTTCACTTAGAAGATACAAAACGAATACTGAACATGGCTACACTAGCACTCAAATTAAAACTTACCTGCGTCTTCTCTTAGCGGCACAATGTCGTCTGCATAATCCAGATCAGACAGTCGGCCACCTGGGATAAAGTCGATGCCGCTATTCTCGCACGAGGATAGGGATGTTTCCATAATCGAATCTGTGACAAAGTTAAATAGAAAAGGAGAGAGAGGGCAACCCTGACGAACTTCACTTTCCGTGGTGCCTCAGCCATTAAGTTTTGGTCCGTTATAACTCCCAGGAATCTAAAACGTTTGTAGTTTTCTACTAAGATTAGAGTTGGATAAGAGTTTGAGATGTTTTTAATGGCACTGTTTTAGCTTCGGGAATCCATAGAATGATTAAATTAAGGTTTTTATTTCTCGAAATAAACTTGAATAAGAAATATTTACAAAACAAAAGCTATTTCCTTTTTCTTGTCTTTATTACACACCCTAGTGTAATAAGCATCAGACGGGGAAAGGTCCGTAGTCACAAGGACTTGTTGTTCAGTAATGGAAGTCGATAGCCCAAGCTCCTGGATTTTGATTGGCGAGTCACATAAGGCCCGCTAGGTTGGGCGTGTTATTAAACCGAACGACACCAAAGCTGTCTATCCCCTAATTTGGGTGGCAGTCCGAAGCATGCCGGTTACAGCGACTAAACCACTGCGCCGCCGCCACCACCACCACCCTAACAGTAAGCACCAGCTGAGATGCTCTAAAACGATTCCGGAATTAGGTCGTGCTCAATTTTAACGTTTTTTTATTCAAGAAATAATAAATTTTCAGTGAAATATTAGGAAGCTATTCCGATTGATTTTAACAACAGCTTCTTGGAGCCCTTCGCCAGCAACCATACCAGTGACCTTTGGGTTCGAGCCCGTTTCCTTACCGACTGATGTTCTGAAGTCAGATGTTTATCCCACTCCATCGTTTGAAGTTTTGGCTGTTCTAAGTGCCACCTGACAAGGCTTTGGTTGTGCGCATTTGTACTGGGGTAGTTCATTTTGATTAGCTTTTGTAAAACCATCAGTTGCCTTCATAGGTGTTGTGCGTCTAACTTACTTCAACGAACAGTTCAGTTGGTCAGGCAACAATCAGACTATTTCCTCTGGTGTAGCTGGAGCTCCCTGGGAAGTGTCATCTA